GAAGGCCAGGGAGCCTGGGCCCTCTCGAGAGTCCAAGGAGCCGTTCCGCCCGCCCCCCATCACACCCCACGAGTACATGCTCTCGCTGTACAGGACGCTGTCCGATGCTGACAGAAAGGGAGGCAACAGCAGCGTGAAGTTGGAAGCTGGCCTGGCCAACACCATCACCAGCTTTATTGACAAAGGGCAAGGTGAGAGGGTGGGGTGGCAGGGGCATGGCTCAGAGGGAGGGGCATCTGCATGCATGGAGGGGCTTTCAGAGCCTTGACACTGCGCTGGTGGGAGACAGTGTGCACTGGCCTGGGGTGGGTGTCAGGCTGCTGGCATGTCAGCGCTGGAGGGCACCTAGGAATCACCGAGTCCAATTCCTGCAAGGTGTTGAGCTGGCACTAAAGCCTAAAGAGGAGACAAGATCTGCCAGTTGGTGGCAGAGTTGGAGACCAGACTCCCAGACTTTTGGTTACTGAGCCATGCTCTGTACCCATGCGGGATGGCCAGACTTCCCAGGAGCCAGGCATTTGCAGGTTTTCTCAGGTGATAGAGAGACAAATGGATCTTTAAGTGCCCATGGTTCTGCAACTTTATCCTCAGGCCAGGGGCAGAGGAGACAGGAAAAGTGAAGATAGTAAATGGGGCAGCTTGGAGTCATGAATTGATGTGTAGATAGATCCATGCAGAGGCTGCAGACCTAGGTCTGGTCTGGGTGATTTCCGAGAGCTCTTCAAATATGAAGCTTTATGTCCTATTCTAAGCATAGATCATTGTCTTTTTTTCTTTGGAGAGATTTTTGCTATAGGGCACGAGGGCTCGTCAGAAAGAGAGAGACAGAGGCAATCCCTTCTCTTCTATTCTCCTCTCAGAATCTTGGACACGCACGCACATGTGCCTGGTGTGAGTTTAAGCCACCGGGTCCAGGACTCGAACCGCAGTCGACTTCATGGGAGTCCAGCGATGTAGTCATTATGCCAACTGCTGGTCCCATCATTTTCATCATGAACCTAGTAGAACACCTATTCCCCTCACTTTGCCCTCTCTGCACCTAGTGTTACGATCTCAGCTTTTTCTCTCGACTTGCTGTGAGAGTTCAGCAAGACCTTTCCCTTCTCAGGGACTCAGTTTCTCTGTAGTGTCAGAGTGGGCAGAGGTAGGTGGGCTGCTGATTTCTGTGGTTGCTTGCAGCTCCTATGCTCCAGTTGTGTCCTGGGGCTTTGACGGCAGGATGGGGGAGGGGTCAGCGAGTGGAAGAGGTTCCCATTAGAGCTGATCTATAGGGGAAGGACAGGGCAGGGGGAGGGGTGGGGCCACAGAGGCAGCAGGTCTGGCTGAGGTGGGGGAGGCGGCCTGGCTGCCTGCCCAGCCAGGGGAAAGCTGTGACCCCTTGGGGGCTCATAAAATGAGTCCTTGTGCCCCCGCCCCAGCAGTAAGGGAGCTTGGGGAGGGGGGAGATGGGTAGTTTAAAGGTCTAATTAGTCACCTTCTAGAGCAGTGTTTGAATGCTCCCCAATGGCACGCTGGTATTTAGGAAGGGGGACATGCTATTTAGAGATACTACTTTGCATTGTGCACTCTCTCTCTCACATCACATACACACATACCATGATATTCATATGAACATACTGAATCATACACACACATCTCCTTGGATATATATGAATGGAATCATATACATACATGCTCTTTATTTATACAAGCTCAATCATGTATACACATAACATGTGATATATATATACACACATACATACATATATATATATATATAATCACCTTTCATATTCACACACGAACCCAGTCATATGCACACACACACACACACACACACACATACACACACACAGGCTGTCATACACTCATACCTAGCAGGGGAAGACATGTACAGAACAAAATAATTTGACTGGGAAGCCAGGAAAACTGGGTTGGAGACCAACTTCATCCTTAACTTTCTGAGTGACCCTCATCAAGCACTCTCCATCTCTGTGCCTCAGCTGTAAAGCGAGAACACTAAGATCTCCTTTGCATAGCAGCTCAAGATTGGTTATAAAATCTCTAGGCAAGAGTTCTAACGTTGTTTTTTCCTAGCAGGATGATCTTGAGCAAGGCACCTAACTTCTCTGAGCCTCAGGTTCTTTCTTTGGAAAAATGGGTAATTTTAATGTTTACATCCCCCCTCTGTCCAATCTCAAAAGTATTGATAGTATTTTAGATAGTGGATGGGAGAGAGATAAGGAGAAGGTAGTCGAAGAAGATGAAGCTCTAATTCATGTAGATCATTGATACAAATACCCAGATTCACTCAAGTCATCCACGGTCATATCTCAGATAAACACCCCTTGGATGGCTGAGCAGGAAGCTCAACGTTTTGAAAAAGGCTCTTGGTGATTTGAGTCTTGGCCTCTATCAGAGTGGGGAAGAGGTTAAAGAAAGCTCTCCATGAGGAGAGCACTGGGGCTTTCCCCTGAGGCCTCAAAGTGACTGTCTCCCTTGGTGAGGCTGTAGGAATGACTTCTGGGTGTTCTCTCTAGATGACCGAGGTCCTGTGGTCAGGAAGCAGAGGTACGTGTTTGACATTAGTGCCCTGGAGAAGGACGGGCTGCTGGGGGCTGAGCTGCGGATCTTGCGGAAGAAGCCCTTGGACACAGCCAAGCCAGCGGCCCCTGGCAGCGGGCGGGCTGCCCAGCTGAAGCTGTCCAGCTGCCCCAGCGGCCGGCAGCCGGCAGCCCTGCTGGATGTGCGCTCTGTGCCAGGCCTGGATGGATCTGGCTGGGAGGTGTTCGACATCTGGAAGCTCTTTCGAAACTTTAAGAACTCGGCCCAGCTGTGCCTGGAGCTGGAGGCCTGGGAACGGGGCCGGGCGGTGGACCTCCGTGGCCTAGGCTTTGACCGGACTGCACGGCAGGTCCATGAGAAGGCCTTGTTCCTGGTGTTTGGCCGCACCAAGAAACGGGACCTGTTTTTTAATGAGATTAAAGCCCGCTCTGGCCAGGATGATAAGACTGTGTATGAGTACCTGTTCAGCCAGCGGCGAAAACGGCGGGCTCCGCTGGCCACTCGCCAAGGCAAGCGACCCAGCAAGAACCTTAAGGCCCGCTGCAGTCGCAAAGCACTGCACGTCAACTTCAAGGACATGGGCTGGGATGACTGGATCATCGCGCCTCTTGAGTATGAGGCCTTCCACTGTGAGGGGCTGTGTGAGTTCCCTTTGCGCTCTCATCTGGAGCCCACGAACCATGCAGTCATCCAGACCTTGATGAACTCCATGGATCCTGAGTCCACGCCCCCCACTTGCTGCGTCCCCACTCGGCTGAGTCCCATCAGCATCCTCTTCATTGACTCTGCCAACAATGTGGTGTACAAGCAGTATGAGGACATGGTCGTGGAGTCCTGTGGCTGTAGGTAGCAGCACTGGCCCTCTGTCTTCCTGGATGACACACCCCAAGAGCCCCTCCTCCAATCCCTGGAATCACAGAGGGATCAGGAAGCTGTAGCTGGCTAGACAGCATCTACACAGCCTGTCTGAGCATCTACACAGCCTGTCTGAGCGGAGATTCCAACAGCCTTTTCACTCTATGACTTTGGCTAAGGTTCTCCCTTTAGCTACAAATCCCTCTGACTGAGGATTTCTGTCCTGCTGCTGTGACTCATGGGGGACAGGCCCAGGGAGGCAGACTCTGAATGGGACTGAGACCCAGGAGACAGTGTTTTCCAAGGAGACCCAGTCCACGATCTCTTCCTACCATTCAGAGGGAGCTGGTGCTATCCCTCTTGGAAGCACATGAGTGCCATCTCCTCCTTGAGTTACTGTTGTGTGTGGTGATTTTCTGCCCTTGGGACAGATAAGCTGCTGATTGGGCAGAGGTGGGAAAGAGGGGGAGAGGGCTTGAGCAGGGGTGAGGAATGTGAGGCTGTTAGACTGTTAGATTAAAATGTACATTGATGAGATATAAAGCAAAACTCTGCCTAGAAGTGTGGCTAATTTCTTATTTACTCGAAGGAGACCTAGTGACCCCTCAAATAATTACTGACCTGGGGAGGGGAGATGAGTTGCCTCATTTGTAAACTCATTTTCCAGGGCCTGATCCCCACCCCCCTCCTGGAAACTGGAGCAGAATTGGACAGAGAGTAGGGCTGACAGGGCTTACCTCTAACCCCATTCCTGTTCTTTCCAAAGGCCCATAAGTCCTGAGCTCCATTTGCTCCATTGGGGCCTGGCAACAGAGTCAGATTGAGATTTTCTTTTTGGCATTCCTTCGTCAAGTTTGTTGTCTCCAAAATGGATCTCTAAATGGGAGGGAAACTGGGGCCTTCCTTTCCTCTAAAATCATTCACACTTCATTCACCAGCACCCACCCTGCTCCTCCAGCCCTATCCCCCTACTCACAGACTTAACTGGGCATCATTTAAAGGTCCCTCTGCCTCACCACTGGGGAATCTGGACTTCCC